TACTCGTTATAAAACCTAATCCATGTCTTGACAAGTATAAATGAATCGACTTAAGCATATCCAGCAATGTTAATATGGTACCGCTCCACCCCGAATAACACTGCAGTAAACTATCATTGTCTCGCTCGCTTGAAGAGGAGGGTGTCGAGTGATATAAAATTGAGAGAGAGAAAATAAACGAATGACTTTCATGTAATAGCCTGACCTTTCCATGCCTCGATAGCGCAGTAGGCAGCGCGTCAGTCTCATAATCCACTCAAGAGAAGAGCAATCTGAAGGTCGTGAGTTCGATCCTCACTCGGGGCAGATATTTTTTCAAAGTAAGAAATCATTTATTATTATTCAAAACCAGTAAAATCTTTATCGATCCATTAAATAACCTAGAGTGGTTAAGGCGATGGACTGCTAATCCATTGGGGTCTCCCCGCGTGGGTTCGAATCCCATCCTCGTCGAAATGTATTTTTTGTAATCCGTTCTGTAGAAATACCTGTTTCCGAATTCTCGACCTCAGTCAACGTTCTCTAGCCCTGTGAATTAATCACATCTCAAGCCCTTCCTAATCCTTAATCCATCCACTGCAGTGCTTCAATGCCCAACCTTATTTCACAACGGTTGATGTCAGCCGAAATAGCTCAGTTGGGAGAGCGTTATACTGAAGATCTAAAGGTCCCTGGTTCGATCCCGGGTTTCGGCAGGAGTGCTGATCTCTGGCGGCAGACCCTTTTTTTTCTTTGGAAAATGCAGAAGAATGTAACCCTTTACGTTATAGCACACTGGAACAATTCATATACCAAACAATGCAAATACGTCATAATGAGCGCTTGGAGTAATCCTTCATGCACGGGTATGTCAGGATGGCCGAGCGGTCTAAGGCGTCAGTCTGGCTTCTGTTTTCATTGCGAAAGGACGTGTTTTCCTTAGCTCTGAAGTTTAACCAAGCGAGAGAGTTTTCAGTAAAACTCAGTGAGGATTTGTAAATAGATTTCGTATATATAGTAACTTTATATTTAGTGTATATTTGTACATAAACTACGTTTTTAGGGGCCTTTTGTTCCAATAACTGTGATATTTTTGACTGTGATAATATATTCTGTGATAATCTACTGTGATAACCTTTTTTGTGATATTCTCCACCCCGCATAGGATAGCGGTGGTGCTTTTCTGGATATAAAATGGCGACGTCAGGACGACGATACGCCAAAGAAAACACCGTAAAGGTTACAAATGTTGACTTAAAAAAGGTATTTATGATTGATTTTATCGAAGAAGCTGAAAGATGTATAGGAGAGGGCACAGTGTATGCATGTGTTCCCAGACCACCTAGTAATATAGAGATAACATTAAATTCCGTAGAAAATGCTATAAAATTATGTGATGAAGGTTTGAACATTCACGATGAACACTTTTCAGTTGAATTATGCTTTTCTAAAAATACTGTCGTGTCAATATTTAATCTCCCGAGTCATATTGATGATGAAGTTATAACAAATAAACTAGAGCAATATAAGATTGAAATTGTAGAAAATGTAGTGCGCCATTATTACAAGCAAAGACCAGATAGTGCCGACGGAACACGCCATGTCAAATGCAAATTCCCCCCGAATTTTCACTCGCTTCCATGGGCCATGCAGTTTGATACCCCCGATGGCCCCCAAACCTTTAAAGTTGTACATAATAATCAAAGTAAGGTGTGCTTCGAATGTTTATCTCCCGAACACGAAAAAAAAGAATGCCCCAAAATACAATGCCGTAAATGCAAGATTTTCGGACACATGGCTTTCAACTGTAAAAATGAGAAATGTGACAAATGTGACAGGTATTTAACTCAATGCACGTGTGAGGAGTTCTATGATACAAACGAAGGAGAAGTTAATATAGAGGATGTAAACAGTAATAAGTCTACTAAGTTGACACAGGCAAAGCGAGACCTAAGTGTATCCACAGACGACGAATATCTGGACAAAAAGCAGCGAAAAGACTCTAATGGCGAACAACGCCCGCCCACTGAATCAACCCGCAATGACCCCCATTCCTTTCTTAACGAATTTTCCGTAATCGAGAGCCCAATAGATAATCCGCGTAACACCGAAACGGCCGAAATTCCACATGATTCAAATCTTACAGCCGGTGATCCCCAATCGAATTGTGACAAACTGGATGTTAAACTAACAGTAAAAAAGGGCAGTGACGGCAAACTCAAACGTACGGCAATTGCTACAGGAAAAACCTCCCCCAACAAACTTAGTAAATTTAACTCTAGAAAGGATGTGCCTATGGAATCCACCCCCCCTGCCAAAAATTAACACTCTTAAGAAGTAGTTTTATTACATTTTTATCCCTTATGCCTGTTTTAACTTTTATATTTTATTCAACCCTTTTAACGTTTTTCATGCCAAAAATCACAACCTGGAACGTGAATGGCTTACGTGAGATGAAAAAACTGGAAAAAGTAATTGGTCAATTGCAAGAAAGCAGTGCGGATGTAATTGCACTTCAGGAAACTTTTTGGACTGACGAATTATTAGGCACTGTGGAAAAACTATGGGATGGACCAATATTCACTAGTAATTTTGTTAATAATCGGCGGGGAGTAGCCATACTATGTAAAAACAATTTGAAAGATTCTATCCTAGGTAATTTTAAAGATAGCGAAGGACGGATTTTAAAAGTTGATTTTTTAATTGATGATGTATATTTTAATGTTTTAAATATATATGCTCCCAACAAAGACGGGGATAGGGACGAATTTTTTAACTCAATTTTACATTTTTTAACCCCAACTTCTATCTTATGTGGAGATTTTAATAACATTTTAGACCCTTTTTTAGACAGAGCAAAGGACATGCATTTTAACAAAAAGAGCATATCTATTTTTAACAATTTTATTTTACAACATAATCTCTGTGATATTTTTAGACGTAGAAACCCTGATAAAAGGCAATATACCCGGACCAATTATCTTAATAATGTTTTAAAGGCTAGTCGTTTAGACTACATTTTTATACCTCATAAATTTATACACCATGTTTTTAAAGTTTTTATTACATATACATTATTATCGGATCATAATCCAGTTAATATTTTTATTGATTTAATGATTGTGAAAGAGGTCCGGGTATATATATTTTTAATAATTTACTTTTAAAAGATGAATATTTTACCAGTACTATAAGAAATATAATTAACAAGGAAAAAGATAGTCTGTTATATTCCTCAGAGATACTAGTTTGGTGGGATAATCTTAAATACAAACTTAAAAACTTTTCACAATGGTATTCTAAAAAGAAAAAGAAAGAAGAGAAAGAAAAATTTTGGTCCCTCCAAAATAGGATCTCTAGGGAATATGACAGATTATCTCAGAAAATGGCCCCTGATCTCACTCTTATCAAAGAACTAGAATTAAAACTACAAGAATTGGAAGATAATAAATGTAAAGGGGCCATTATAAGAAGCAAATTCCAAAATGCTACCCAGGGTGACAGGTGTACCTCTTTTTTTTGTCTCTAGAAAAGCAAAGACAGATAAAAATGTAATTAAGGAGTTAAAAAGTGACCAAGGGGAAATTTTAAATCAAACTAATTCTATTTTATATGAATGTTCTAATTTTTATTCAAAGTTATATGCTCCAGAAAATCCTGATGATTTTAATACTATACATGATGTTGGTAATATTTTAGACTCTACCATTTCCTCTGTGGATAGAGATATTTTAGATGCCCCCATTATTTTAGAAGAAGTTATTAATGCGTTACAATCTATGTCCAAGGGAAAAAGTCCTGGCTTAGATGGTTTAACATCTGAATTTTATTTATATTTTAAAGAAATTTTAATGCCCCTTTTTTTAGATGTTTTAAACCATATTTTTAATCATAGTATTTTATCCAAATCAATGAAAAGAGGAGTTATAGTTTTAGTCTACAAAGACAAGGGAGATAAGACACTTTTAAAAATTTTTAGACCTATTTCTTTTTTTAGCACTAAGGTTAAAAAATGTTTTAGAGTCGATTATCTCCCCTGAACAGTCTTGTTCTGTTCCAGGCCGAAGCATTTTAGAAAATGTTGCAGGTATTCGAGATGTGATAGATTATGTTAATCACGAAAACGAAGATATGTGGCTGTGCCAATTAGACGCGGAAAAAGCTTTCGACCGTGTGTCATTCGAATACCTGCAACATATTCTAAAATGCTTTGGTTTTGGCCCAGTTTTTAGAAAATGGATTAAAATTCTATATACTGATGTTAAGAGCACTGTTAAAGTAAATGGTCACCTGTCGCCTTATTTTCCCATTAAGCGGTCAGTACGTCAGGGTTGACCATTATCCGCATTGCTATATGTCATATGCGCCGAGCCTCTGAATCAACCATTATCCGCATTGCTATATGTCATATGCGCCGAGCCTCTGAATCAACTAATAAAGCATTCCCCGGCACAAGGTATACATATAAAAAAAATTCTGAGGCTCGGTCATTGATTTATCAGCATGCGGATGATACAACCCTGACACTGGCCAACATTAATTCTGTGCAAGAGGTTTTTAAATGTATAAATAAATATTGTAATGCTTCAGGGGCCAAAATAAACATCCAAAAATCAAAGATTATGCCATTTGGATCTGCAGTAAATAAAACCATCAATATAAATCTACCTTTAACTATTGTATATGACATAATCTTGATTTTGGGTGTTTATTTTGGCAATAATGTTAAGGAATGTGTGAAGTCTAATTGGGAATCCAAAGTTTTTAAGGTGCAAAATTTATTAAACTTTTGGAGAAAGGGGCAACTCACTCTCCTAGGTAAGGTCACTGTAATAAACGCACTTTTATTATCTAAATTTTATTATACTATGTCTATCATCCCCATGCCTGACCATATACAACAACAAATAAAGACACTAATTACTAATTTCTTATGGCATGGAAAACCACCTTTAATCAAGTATAATGTCATGACACAAGCCAAGTCAGATGGAGGCATTGGGTTGATAGACATTAAATTAAAAGGGCAATCACTTTTATTAAAATGGCTTAAACAATATTTTAACCCTGTAAATAATACATTTTGGAAGCATACTATGACTTATTTTTTAAATTTATATGGTTCTTATGGTCTAGACAAGGATATTTTTAAAATTCATTTTAACCACAAGCTTTTAAATGGATTACCATGTTTTTATAAACAACTTTTAGTAGCCTGGAATACTGTAAATAATAATTCTAGAATGGAACCCTGTATTTTAAATGATATTGCTATACAACCTATTTTTAATAATATTTTACTTAATCACAATAATAAAGTTTTAGCATACAAATATTTTATACAGGCAGAAATTTTAACATTCTATGATATTTTATATTATGTAATACCAGGTTTCCTGCAAAATCACTCTATTGTTGACATGATTGAAGAAAAATTCCCTGATTTGGATGAAGACAAAATGATTAAAACTTATGATCATATTAAAACCTCGGTCCCATCCGAGTGGAGGAAAATCATTGATGCCAGCTCTTTTGTCGTTCATCCCGGGGAAAATTTCTTCGATCTTGACAATAATAGAGTGCCAAGTGACCAATTGACCTCCAAATTATTGTTATAAAATATTATTAAAGCTCAAGGATACAACACCAACTGCTACACACTATTGGCAGAAACAGAATTTGGAAGTCAATTGGCCACTTACATATAACAATATTTTTAAGTTTTATAAATCACCTAAAATGATAGACTTGGATTTTAGAATAGCACATAATGTTATATGGACCATGGAAAAATTAAAACGCATTGGGAAAGTTGAAAGTGACCTTTGTCCGGTGTGTGGTGACGAGCCAGAAACTATTGAGCACCTCTTTGTAGATTGTCTCGATTTAAGTTTTTTTATTTACCTTTTGCATCAAATGTTAAGGGATATTTTACCTTTTTCTTTTACGGATTTTGATTTTAAATGTTTTTTATTATTAACAAATCTGTTCCCTCAGAGCTTTTAAATATTATTTTATCATGTGCAAGGTAAACTATTTTTATTACAAGAAATGTATATATCGATAAACCTAATAGTCATATTGATTTAGTTATTTTATACAAGAATATTTTAGCAAGTGCCTTAATTTATCTTAAGCAACTTTTCCCTAAACATGTTTTTATACAGAAATTTATTTTACCTTCATGCTTTATCAATATACAACTAGATGATTCAATTAATATTGAATTTAAATAGTTTTTATAATGTATATTATTATTTATTTTATCAATATATTTTATGTGGATACCCACCTTTAAAGAAGAAAAAGAAAGAAAAAAAAAGAAAGAGAAGAAGAAAAAAAAAAAAAAAAAAAAAGGCGCCAGACTCAAGGATATCTTCCTTCGCTGCCATTCAGCGAAATGAGCGTTCTGGTCTACGAATGTAGGCGTGGGTTCGAATCCCACTTCTGACAAATAATTTTCCTTCTGTTTTCTATTGAACAATGACCCCAATTGTTCCAACGGGTTGTTTCATGCGACTGAATGCGCCGCTGGTGTAGTGGTATCATGCAAGATTCCCATTCTTGCGACCCGGGTTCGATTCCCGGGCGGCGCACACTTTAACCAACATTTTTCTTGCATGGGATCAATTCAACACATGCAGGATTTTCGCCACAGATGCAGTTTTCTACTGCCTCAATAGCTCAGTGGTTAGAGCACTGGTCTCGTAAACCAGGGGTCGGGAGTTCGAACCTCCCTTGAGGCTGTGTAAATTGATAGGTATACTTTTCATCATTTATGACAAATTTCCTGTTCGAGAGATTCGTCGATGGGGGTAAATGGACCGTACACCGCTTTTGCCACGTCGGGTTTTAGATAC